AAGGTATTTGAAATGTATGATTCCGCACTCACGCACTGCTACCAGGCATTGCTAACGGCTAGATAGCTGGGACAAGAAAATATCCAACTACATATTGGTCGAATCACTCCAACCGCGTGAAGCAGAAGAGGATGATTTTAGTGGGTATGAATTTGTTGTTCGCCAACATATCGGTATGTATGGCGGACATCTCAGCCGTGATAGAATCTTACATGCCACAGACCCGTTCTCCCGAAAGTCCACAATATTTGTTGATGTGAAGTCCAAGTCTCTGCACGACCTCCTGCGTGAGGTACTAGAGAAGGTCAAGGCAGTTAGTGTGTTGGAACCCAAGCCCGCTGTAAGGGACTCGAAGTCTTGAACCAATGCTAGAAGCTAACCCTGTGAGTAGATTGAAAAGATTGTCTTGTTCCATTTCCTACCTGAGCTCAAGTCTAAGCTTGACCAACTAACTCACTGCGAGCAATCAACAGGTATACACAACACCGGCCTAGTTATCCCTTCCCCGGCTAACTAAAACGCATACACAGATACCGCAGATCCGAGAAATCCCCCAAGAGGGATTGAGCACCTCCGTCTCCTCGTCGACTACATTGAAAAGGCTTATGCACCGACCATGGAACGCCTCACGCCTTTATTACAGCGCGGAGAGATTACTTATGATCTTCTTGAGTTTCTCTTCAAACCGGGATGCCACGTGTACACGAAGTGTCCGGGGACTGGAAAGTCTCGCTGCGTAGTTTATAACGCCGCAGAAGAGATTACACGAGCAGACGGCACGCATCTTAGACTCGACTGTTATTATCTTGACCATGACGACCATAAAATCGGGGAGGTAGAGATCGAGCTGGGAATTGTCAAGTTTCGAGGGCGCAAACCAATCCACACCCTGGAGGCATTTCCACTCCAACACCACCCAGACTGCGAACAAATTACTCAAGACCTGCAGAAGTGCGGTCGCAAGTTTAGCCAATTCATCAGACGCTGCAAGGAAGACATCCTAATGCAACACTGCAAGGGCACTGCATTTATCATGAAGAATGGGAAGCCGCTGGCATCGAACATTAACAGTCTTGTGGCAATCAATCCAGCCTTATTTTATGAAATAATGCCGAAATACTATTGCCCACGAGTCTCCAACTGCTGGGACCAACATTTGATTACCGAGGACGAATGTCTCATATGCTGTCCGACGGTTCAATGCTTTGTCTTCAACGAGAAACGCTTCTGTGAGTAATTATAGTTTCACAGGTGACAGCGCTGACTTATTCTTGCAGTGGAGTGTGCCGTTAGTGATTTGACAGAGGTTCAGTGGTCTCCTGCCTCATTTGACCGCTTGCAAATCCCCGACGACAAGAAAGAAATAATCCTCAGAGTTACTGACGCTCGTTTGTCCGGCAACAGAGACGTAGACTTCGATGATTTTATTAAAGGAAAGGGCCGAGGATTGAACATCCTCTTCTAGTAAGTTCTTAAGGGAAGTTCTTATGAGAATCCTCTCTGCTAATAGAGCCAGTGGTGAGCCCGGAGTTGGCAAGACATTCACAATCCAGGCGATGGCCGAGCGATCCCAGAGACCACTCTACTCGGTAGGCGATGCCCATCCGACAGATATCCCGATTCAATGCTCATTCGTTAGGTTTCGGCGGGTGAATTAATCGCAGACCATGGCGGTCCCCTGCAACTAGAGAAAGCCCTTGATCAGATCTTCAAAATTGCAAAGGGCACCGGAAGCATACTTCTGTTTGATGAAGCAGATGTATTTATGGAGAAGCGAGCAACGTACCAAGGAGGTCAAAACAAGCTGGTGACGATCTTCCTTCGGGGACTTGAATCATATGAAGGGGTCCTCTTTCTGACTACCAACCGCGTGAAGGAGTTTGACGACGCGGTTATAAGCCGAATTCATCTGAAGATTCAGTATACAAAATTGACGCAGGATGCCCGGCGAAACATCTGGGAAAGCTTTCTTTTAGTGGCTGGTACTCCGCAAGGGCCCGCCATCCTCGAAACGAGCGAACTTGAGCATCTGGTATCGATGAAATTGAACGGCCGAGAGGAGAGTTACCACACCTCAAGTTCTCTACTATGTCCTCATCCCGGCTGACTTAATTTTGTGAAAGATTAAGAATATCTGGTGTGTCGCCCAAGCAATAGCTGTAGCTGAGAACAGTCAAGTCACCTTCAAGCACTTGGAAACAGCCATCAAGGCGAATGACGAATTTGTCGAGGAGTTCATGAACTCCGGCCGGATGCAGGGCATGTATACATGAATTTGATGGGAAGCGGACCGCTGAGGCCTGTAAGATACGCTATCATCGCTTGCAACGACTCAGCAAGTCAGACGATTCTGGTGGAATATGCACACGCGAGTAGGAAAAGGAGTTTTTACTTATAGTTAAAGTAGTAAGACGTTTTGTGGCAACCTGTTGTCTGTACCTCGCTACAACTCGTAAGGCTCGGCAGCAACTTCGCGAGCTGGGTGACAACCTGCTCGACCTCGTAACAACTTGCAAGTCTTGGCAGCAACTTAGCAAGTTAGGTGATTTTTTATTTTCCTGACAACATCTCCTGCCTTATCTTTCCCATATTCGCGCCAAGCATGTTTATCAACAGCTCCAAAAACTGGATACTTTAAACGCGATGTGACCATCACCCATACCGACTGCATCGCCGACCGCATTGCCGACCGAAGCCTCATCAAGCACATGCAAGTTTTAAGAAGGAACCGAATAGCATAGCTAGTTGTCTGCGCGATGAGCGTCGAGTTCGTTGCTAGAAGGTTGTAAGGAGCAAGAGTTCGACCCATGGTGCTCAAGCTTCGGGACAAACTAAGTCTGGTGATCACGCCCATCTGCAATATTGTTGTCGTGGGCGTATATGTGACTTACGAATAGCTTCAAGCTTTCCATTTTAGGCAGCAGCACGCGAGCGCTCGGCATGGTGACTGCCTGAGGCTACCGATCACGTGCCTGATTCCTATGTTGTAGATAGCTTCGTCTTCGCTACTTTCACTTGGCGAGCCTCTTAATGCGACTGGATGTGAGCGCGCGAAGGATATTGCACGGCTTGCCCTGTTTAAGCATGACCTTGCCAAATGTCGAAGAACCGTTCGGCCCTCTGAAATCCCTACCGACCTCGAAGAGCACGCTGAAGCCTCAACTATCAGAGGACGCGTCCTTACCGCTGACAGACCCAGTTCATTCGATTTCTTCGGCGAACAAGGCACGCGAAAGGAAAAGTCACGGTCGCCCTCCGTCAAGATCGAAGCTCCCGAAGCTGATCCTGAACCCAGCGATTCCAGCAGGAGCTCGGGTGAGAGTGACTCTGNCCTCTTTGCTCGCTATGCATTCAGCTACGTTAGTAGCGTTGTTAGAAACCACTTCAGTTTGTATTTCTCCCCTTGATACTGCTCGTATCTGATGGGTGATAGCTTCAACAATCCACGTCTCTTACTACAGCGAAACATACGATATGCTGATTGATTGGCTCACCCGCGAGCAAAATATGGATAATGCTCACTCCTTGATCGCTCGCGCGGGATATTCGCACAGAACGATCACTCGAGACTATGCCAAGAAGAAGCCCCTCTCTTTTTCTCCCTGGGGCGGGTCGTTTTTCTTCTGCCACAAGAGGCACCTACTTAGATTCACCTGTGAGGTGGAGGAGCATCGAGAAAGAATCGCCATCTCATGTTTCGGCCTATCTAAGCAATCTACGCGTTTCCTAAAGGAGCTCATCGAAGAATGCCGAAGAGAGTCTCTCGAGGCCAATCACAGAGATGTGTCGGTCTTTGAACACCGAGAGGGCGAATGGAAGAGAGCTTGTGTAAAGCTGGCGAGGCCGATTTCCACAGTCATCATGGACGAACACGTGAAAAACGAGTTCGTGAAAGACGTGGAAGACTTCTTGGATGAATCCATGCAGATATGGTACGCTGAACGCGGCATCCCTTATCGACGAGGATATCTTTTCCTTGGGCCTACTGGCACTGGGAAGTCGAGTTTGAGTTTCTCGATTGCGGGCGAATTCAACCTGGATATCTACACACTTAGCATATCAGGGGTCAGCGATAGTACACTGGCCAAGCTGTTTGCGGATCTCTCTCAGCAGTGCATTGTTCTCATTGAGGATGTGGATGCTGCCGGCATGGAACGGAGAGACGACCGTGATGCAGGCCAAACGACAAACTCAAGTGGAGTAACGCTGTCCGGACTCTTGAATGTTATAGATGGTGTGTCTTCCCAAGAAGGCCGTGTGCTAATCATGACAACAAATCATATCGAGCGTCTTGATAAAGCGCTCACTCGAGAGGGGCGTGTTGACAAAACAGTGTATTTCGAGCTTGCCAGCAGGGATGTTACATCTCGACTCTTCCACAGGGTCTTTTCCCAGATGCCCGGCTCCCATAAGCACTCAACTGAAGAAATCGACGACGAAATAATTAAGACGCTTGCTAGCGAATTTGCCGCCAAGGTCCCAGAGGAGGTCTTCAGTCCGGCGCAACTCTTGTCCTTTCTGCTGGAACGCAAGAAATCACCCGCGAGAGCCGTTTCGGAAGTGGAGGAATGGATAGAGAAAGCACTGCAATCAGCAAGGGAAATCAAGGGAGGGAACGCCACTGGACAGAACCAAGACAAGACGCCTCTACCAACTGCCGCGGCTGAGAATCCCGAGTCAGCTGCCTGGCCAGGGAAGCCGTCAACCATTCCCGGTCTTCCCACCCCGCCACCTGGTGCACACAAACTAGACAACCAGTTAGCAAAGGCCACTAATGAAGTGGACGACCTTGTAGCCTGCAAGCCTAGGTTCAAAAAGGTATTTGAAATGTATGATTCCGCACTCACGCACTGCTACCAGGCATTGCTAACGGCTAGATAGCTGGGACAAGAAAATATCCAACTACATATTGGTCGAATCACTCCAACCGCGTGAAGCAGAAGAGGATGATTTTAGTGGGTATGAATTTGTTGTTCGCCAACATATCGGTATGTATGGCGGACATCTCAGCCGTGATAGAATCTTACATGCCACAGACCCGTTCTCCCGAAAGTCCACAATATTTGTTGATGTGAAGTCCAAGTCTCTGCACGACCTCCTGCGTGAGGTACTAGAGAAGGTCAAGGCAGTTAGTGTGTTGGAACCCAAGCCCGCTGTAAGGGACTCGAAGTCTTGAACCAATGCTAGAAGCTAACCCTGTGAGTAGATTGAACAGATTGTCTTGTTCCATTTCCTACCTGAGCTCAAGTCTAAGCTTGACCAACTAACTCACTGCGAGCAATCAACAGGTATACACTCCACCGGCCTAGTTATCCCTTCCCCGGCTAACTGAAACGCATACACAGATACCGCAGATCCGAGAAATCCCCCAAGAGGGATTGAGCACCTCCGTCTCCTCGTCGACTACATTGAAAAGGCTTATGCACCGACCATGGAACGCCTCACGCCTTTATTACAGCGCGGAGAGATTACTTATGATCTTCTTGAGTTTCTCTTCAAACCGGGATGCCACGTGTACACGAAGTGTCCGGGGACTGGAAAGTCTCGCTGCGTAGTTTATAACGCCGCAGAAGAGATTACACGAGCAGACGGCACGCATCTTAGACTCGACTGTTATTATCTTGACCATGACGACCATAAAATCGGGGAGGTAGAGATCGAGCTGGGAATTGTCAAGTTTCGAGGGCGCAAACCAATCCACACCCTGGAGGCATTTCCACTCCAACACCACCCAGACTGCGAACAAATTACTCAAGACCTGCAGAAGTGCGGTCGCAAGTTTAGCCAATTCATCAGACGCTGCAAGGAAGACATCCTAATGCAACACTGCAAGGGCACTGCTTTTATCATGAAGAATGGGAAGCCGCTGGCATCGAACATTAACAGTCTTGTGGCAATCAATCCAGCCTTATTTTATGAAATAATGCCGAACTACTATTGCCCACGAGTCTCCAACTGCTGGGACCAACATTTGATTACCGAGGACGAATGTCTCATATGCTGTCCGACGGTTCAATGCTTTGTCTTCAACGAGAAACGCTTCTGTGAGTAATTATAGTTTCACAGGTGACAGCGCTGACTTATTCTTGCAGTGGAGTGTGCCGTTGGTGATTTGACAGAGGTTCAGTGGTCTCCTGCCTCATTTGACCGCTTGCAAATCCCCGACGACAAGAAAGAAATAATCCTCAGAGTTACTGACGCTCGTTTGTCCGGCAACAGAGACGTAGACTTCGATGATTTTATTAAAGGAAAGGGCCGAGGATTGAAC